AACAAACAAACAAACAAACAAACAAACAAACAAACAAAACAAACAAACAAACAAACAAAACAAACAAACAAACAAACAAACAAACAAACAAACAAACAAACAAACAAACAAACAAACAAACAAACAAACAAACAAACAAACAAACAAACAAACAAAACAAACAAACAAACAAACAAACAAACAAACAAACAAACAAACAAACAAACAAACAAACAAAACAAACAAACAAACAAACAAACAAACAAACAAACAACAAACAAACAAACAAACAAACAAACAAACAAACAAACAAACAAACAAACAAACAAACAAACAAACAAACAAACAAACAAACAAACAAACAAACAAACAAACAAACAAACAAACAAACAAACAAACAAACAAACAAACAAACAAACAAACAAACAAACAAACAAACAAACAAACAAACAAACAAACAAACAAACAAACAAACAAACAAACAAACAAACAAACAAACAAACAAACAAACAAACAAACAAACAAACAAACAAACAAACAAACAAACAAACAAACAAACAAACAAACAAATAAACAAACAAACAAACAAACAAACAAACAAACAAACAAACAAACAAACAAACAAACAAACAAACAAACAAACAAACAAACAAACAAACAAGCAACCAAACAAGCAAGCAAGCAAGCAAGCAAGCAAGCACGCAAGCAAGCAAGCAAGCAAGCAAGCAAGCATAAGAAAGCAAGCAAGCAAGCAAACAAACAAACAAACAATCAAATCTTTTCCCTTTATAATATTATTATTTAATGTCGTAGCCGATAATGATGATGACCACCATAACTGACATTACTTCTATTATTTTGATCAATATAAATGTATAGTGTCATCTAAACTTTAATGTATGTTGATAATTCTGACGTGCCTTTGTAATTAACATTATTGGGATCAGTGTAAATGTTTTGAAGTTGCGTGAACTCTGAAATGTTCACAAATTGGTCGAGAAGTTCGCTTCATTTTCAATACCTATTCGAAAGTATTACCGAGCATCGTGGAAATACATATATTATGTTGGCCGATATCCAAAATCTAGTGGTATTTTCAAACAGTTAATTTGTTTCTTGTGAAATATGAGGCTTTGGATTGATCAAAGAAAAATAGACTGGTGCAGAAATAGTTTGAGATGACGTATTATTGCATCTAATATTATTACTTTTTGATGGAGTTACATAATTCAGCTGACAGATTCTCGACATTATTTACAAGAACGTGTAATCAAGGGTTTCTTCACTCTAACTGAATATACACAAAACTTGTCCTGTAAATGAAAGAGAAAATATTATATCGAATTATACTAGTAACTTGTAACACTATTCTGCCTACATTATGTATTATTACCTCGGAAAAGAACTGTTTTTCTCCGCCCCAACAGCTGGCATACAACTAACCCTTTTTACTTTGATATTTGATGTCGACCTCCACATCTAGCAAACGAAGGACTCGCCTAAAAATGAAATGGAAATTATGTTAATCCAACAAGTGTAGGGTTCAATTTAGAAACACCCTGTACGTATGCACCTCCCTCAATAGTATAGAAAATCCCAAAATAACAGCAACCGGACCATCTGCATTCAGCCTTCTCACAGTTCGATAAATATAAACCAAATGTAAAGAGTTGCTCCGTTCCATCACCATGTTATACATGTAGTGAAACAAATCAGATGATTTGCCCGAAAATATCACTGCGTTCAAAAATTGCTACATCAGAGATCCAAAAACAAAAATCCAATCATTTATCATAGGCACTTTCCTATGAAAAATGAATGAAGAAAAGAAATATACACTGGTCAACATTGATAACGTTGTGGTCCAAAATATAGCCTGAATTCAAAGAAGACTAACTCACGAATTTCCTTACCAACTTGAAATCGGTTTCCACCGATGATTAGCCTAATCTCTTGACAGTTTGTTGTGGCAATATGAAACTTCTATAATTTCAGAAAACATTGCTACAAGGAGATAATTGAATGGGTGTAAAATTGCATCGTGGTCGTCACCTATCTGTTTGAACAGTAATTTCATTTCTCACCTGTATCCTCTTGATTGATGCTTTCTCTTGAAACGTTTTCGGAATTTTCAAATTCAGAGCTTTGATAATCGTGTTATGAATATTCATTCAAAATGATGCATTTTTCGACGATTAATTGAATGAAATTGGACATTGGAATTCTTTTTCGAAGAACCAACGTTGTATGTATAGTCGCCGGATATGTGATTGTGTTCGAACACAGAAAATTCTGAAGAAGTCTATACAAAGTGATACAAGAAATACTGAATGATGGAATGGAGAATAACGTAGTCTTCAGTAGATGAAATATGTGTTACTAGTGAAATAATGGTGTGTTACTTCGTCATGAGGATGTCTGGTGTCTGACCTCGAAATAGTTTTGTAATTTCTCGCATCGAAGGTAATATAATGGAGGTACGCATTTTTAATCAAAATGATGCATTTTCGTTGAGATAAATTATAAAATTCGAAAAATAATGATTGAAGTATGAAATTTATATTTATTCTTGACGATGGATATACAAGGTTCCAGGAAGAACATCCGACTTCAAACTATTCATCCTGCTCCGAGAGGTAGGTAAATTTTACCCAATCTACGTTTAGCAAGCCGGACGAGCGTTTTGTGCGTTTTGGTTTTGTAAGCTTTGCGGATTAAGGTTAGGGTTTAGAATTTCATAACAAAAACCAGTGAGTGAACACAGTAAAGATTGTGAAGTTCTTCATTCCGATTTTGAAATAATTATAAATGAATAAATAATCAATAGAATATAATAAAGAAGTTTTCCTTCTCAAAATTAAAAATGTGATTCGCTGATCATGTCACATTAATATTGTACCTAGCTGTAACCAAATAACGGATACTACTTGTTTCTCAGCATTAATCAGATTAATCTATTATCTTCCTCTTTTGCATTGTTTTCCACTCAGTTTGGATCCTACCACTTCCATTAGGTAGTTGATCGAAGAAAGTTCTAGTCATAGAAAACTTTGACTGAAATTGGTTTCCGGGAATTATGTTTTCGAAACAATTTGGAATTTTTGGAAAATCCTTCTGACACTCTTTTGTATATTATTTTATTGTATTATTATAAATACGTCACTTCAATCTGGTGTTTTCCCTGATAATCTGAAGTTTGCTATAATTAAGCCCTGCTTGAAGAAAGGTGATGCCGAGTGCCTGGATAATTATAGACCCATCAGCCTTCTCAGCTCCTTTTCAAAGCTATTTGAAATCGTTGTATCCAGACAAGTGGTACGCTTCTTCAAAAACCAAAACCTATTTAGTAATAGCCAACATGGCTTTCTTGGGGGTAAAAGTATTGAAACAGCATTGTTTGAACTAACTAATAATATATATAATTCTTTAGACAGCGGAAATGTGGCCTGTGGTATTTTCTTGGACTTGTCCAGGGCATTTGACTGCATCGACTTTTCAATTCTCTCAATCAAATTAGAACATTATGGTATTCGAGGAATCGCTCTGAAGTGGTTCAAATCCTATATTGAAGGTAGAAAACATTCAGTAAAAATAAGAGATGAAAAAGGCAACTACATGCAGTCAAGTGCTCTGAATGTGTCCATGGGAGTGCCGCAGGGTAGTGTCCTAGGTCCACTGATATTCATTATCTTCTTGAATGATCTTGCATTACTTGCTGATCAAGATACGACGATAATCAACTATGCTGATGACAACACGCTATTCCTCACCGCACCTATTTTCCCAACACTTATATCAAATGCAAATTCTTCAATGACAGCAACAGAAAACTGGTTCTCAAACTCTAGATTGGTGATGAACCCCGATAAAACCAATATAGTATTTTTCAAAGCTAATCAAATTTGGCCTTCACCGGATCACATGATTCTCAATGGACAGAAAATTATATCATCCAAATACATCAAATCTTTAGGGATTATAGTAGATGAAACATTGAAGTATAATTACCATATGGATCATCTGTGCTCGAAGCTAAGTAAGAGCTGCTATGGCATCAGGGTATTAGCTAAGAGTGCAAATTGCAATATAGTCAGAACATTCTACTATTCAAATTTTTATTCTTTAGCTCGCTATGGTATTATCCTTTGGGGAGGCTGTAGTGAAGTTGATAGAGTATTTAAAATCCAAAAAAGAGCAATTCGTATCATGAAAGAGCTTGGATATTTAGAATCATGTAAGAGCCACTTCAAACAATTGGAATTTCTTACCATACCAGCACTATATATATTTGAATGCACCAAGTTTGTCTTCCGTAACCAGCACTACTTTGCAGAATACAAAACAAAGCACTTGCACAACACCAGACATAACAATTATAATGTGCCAGCCCATCGACTATCGTGTGTTGAAAGGGGTGCTTTATATTCCTGTATCAAATTCTACAATAGTCTACCTCCATCGCGGAAAGCAATCTCAGACTTCAAATCAGTGAAGAAACCACTTCTGAAATTGCTCAATGATATTGAACCATATAGCATCGATGATTATTTGAATCGTCATACATCATAACACAAATATTGTTCATACATTATACCTATATATCTACTAATATATTTGACTTGTTTTGTTTGACTGGCTTATACATTTTTTTGTTATGTAAAAAGTGCAATAAATTATTATTATTATTATTATTATTATTTTTTCTCGTCCGAGGAAGAAACACTACTGTCATCGTGAAAAAATTAATTATAGAGTAAATCGGAGTAAATGCTGGACCCAAATATAACTATCTCCATTATTGCGTCATTTCAATGAGAAATAAAATATATCAAATTTTCAAAAAACTTCTGCTCCAAAGAAATATAGGTTAGACATAATATCCTGTTTCATAGACGTTTCAAAATTGATATCAACGGACGTGATCCTCCTGAAAACTCCTGACGTCATCTTTTAACCCTTTGTCGGACGTCGGACACATTTTTGAAACGCAGCTCTGCTTTCATTGATTTGTTCTTTTGCAGCGCCTGACCATGAGCGGCCCGTTCAAACGCCGCGCCTCCCTCAAATCGCTGCCCGCCACCAGCCTGCCCATAGACGCGCTGCGTAAGCAATCCCTGCGCCGCGCGTCTGTCGCCTCGGGCCTCAAGCCCGCCCCGACCGCGTCGACCGCCCCACGCGAGCTGCCCTGGGACCTGCTGGACCGGTGCGCGCTGCCCGTGCTCTTCTGCCACGCGGCCGCCGTGCTGGCCAGCAACGCGCTCAACGTGCTCAACGTGTCAGAAGTGGGCACGCTGGCGCTATTCATTTGGTTCACCGTGGTGACCGTCGGGGCGGTTCTCTTCTACCATAATCTCAAGGTGAGTACAGACCAGGCCTTGGATGAAATATATCGAATAACGATGTTATTTCAATAATTCCGATATATCAATAACTATCGAAACATCGGAAGATATTAATAACCATTGATATTTCGATAACTATCGATACATCGAGAACTATCGATACCTATCGATAACTATCACTAACCATCGATAACCATCGATAATCATCGATAACTATCTATAACCATCGATAACTATCGATAATTATCTATGACTATCGATAACTATCGATAACTTTCGTTAAATATCGATAACTATCGATTTCTTGATATACCGATAATAATTCTATAGTTATCGATATATTGATATTTGACCTATCTTCTTAAAAAATAATAGTAGGCCGATTTTTATTTTTTCTCTATTTGTTGTAATGCATTGGTCTTAAAAAAAATTAAAGAGGTGAAAATTTTTTCAAAGCCTCCTTGATGGTGGTGGAATAACTCGAACCATGATTTATTCTTAATTTTTGACTCACCCTGTGTGTTAATTGAGTAATGGCATAGAAAGTGCTTACACTCTATACGAAAGAGGCTTCTTTTGCGAGCATTTTGTTTTTTTATTCATTGATTTATCTCTAAAATTTTCCGAATTACAGCTTTTTTGCTGAACCCTTGCAGATTACCAACTCTATGAATTTATCGATAAACAATTTTCTAATGAAATAAACTGATACCAATAATTTTAAAAAACATTTTCATTAAACACAAAATTATAAATTGGGATGACTGCTCAATACCGTGTATTGCCTCCTCTAGCAACTCTAAGAACTTCTAATCTACGAGGCATACTGGAAATTAAGTTGCTTATCGTTTCCACGTTTCCATTGGTATTCGATCCCATTCTTCCACTAATGCATCTGCCATTTCTGCGAGCCTTTCCGGAGACCTTTCGCGATAACGTAACCTTCTCCCTAATTCATCCCACAAATGTTCTATAGGATTCATATCGGGGCTTCTCGCAGGCCATTGTGTTTTGGTAATACCAGTAGCTTCTAAGAAGTTTCGCACTATTGCTGCGGTGTGTGGTCGGGCATTATTGCCCACTTACTCTGCATAAGGTAAGACATATTGCTCTAAAATGTCAATGTAAATTTGGGCATTCATCGACTGCCTCACCGGAAAAACATGAAGAGGTGTCTTTCCATTCATTGAAATCCCTCCCCACACCATAACGGACCCACCATTAAAACTTTCGCATTCTGTTATTAAATTTTGATTAAACCGTTCACCAGTTCTTCTCCACACTTTTTTTCTTCCATCCACCATGTTAAGGCAAAACCTTGACTCATCCGTAAACAAGACATTCGACCATTCAGGAATATTCCACTGTCCATAATTTTCAACAAAATTTCTTCTAGCAGCACGATGTTCGGGTAATAATTTGGGACCTTTTGCAGTTCTTCTAGCTTTTAAATTAACTTCTTTCAGACATCTAAATACCGTCTGCTTACTTACTGCAACATCACGAATTTGGCGAAGATCTTGCTGAACATTTACCACAGTATTTGATCGATTCCGTAAAATCCGCAATCTCAAGAAGCGATCATCTCTTGGAGAAGTTTTTCGGGGGCGACCAGAACCGACCCCCCCCCCCCCGAGCGGTGTTTCCTGTTTGTTCGTACTTGCGGATTGCTCTACGAGCAGTTGCTTCATGAACTCTCACTGCACGAGCGGCGTAACGTTTAATACACCCATCGTACGCAACTAATCTTGCTACTTGTTCAGGATTTATTTGAGGCAGTTTATGTAACTTTGGTCAATAAAACAAGACATTCAATTAATGACACAGCGACAAATGGTCAAATATGGAGGCATATAACAAATTAGTTGCTACGGCAACGGCATTGGTTTTTTTTTTAAGACAATGTGATCCTACCAGAGTACAACCCAATTAATTTTGAGTACTCTGATCCTTCAATAAATTTAATTTGTCGAATAAGCGAGAGGTATCAGCAAAAAAGCTGCAATTCGGAAAATTTTAGAGATAAATCAATGAATAAAGAAACAAAATGGTCGCAAAAGAAGCCTCTTACGTACAGGGTGTAAGCACTTTGTATACCATTACTCAATTAACACCCAGTGTGAGTCAAAAATTAAGAATAAATCATGGTTCGAGTTATTCCACCACCATCAAGGAGGCTTTGAAAAAATGTTCACCTCTTTATTTTTTTTTTCAAAGATAAATGCCAAATGCATTACCTACCAACAAATGAAAAAAAAAATCGGCCTACTATTTTTCGTTTTTTTTTAAGAAGATAGGTCAAATATCAAGTACGTCACTTTTTTTGGAACTGAATGTATTTGAAAGAACAGCTATAACACAAGATTGCTCTTGTTTTACTGTGTTCGAAACATCGGTGAGGTACTTCAATTCTATTTCGGTATCTGATATCACAATGACTCCACTGTGGTATTATTTAAAAAAAAACTCATCGCCCATGGAATGTCAAATTTCAAGCAATGACAGCTCTGTCTATTAGATGAGCATTAATTGACAGGAAATTCGCCTATGGCTCATGCTGCAAACTTCATTCTCGTAGGAAATCACTATCACAGTATATTTTACTATCCTTTCACGAGAAAGGATAATCTACTGTGTCGCTATCATTCCGTGCTCGTTAAACAATATACTTTATCTACAACTATGGAGTCATAAATACATTGCAAATTCGATTTTCAACATTTAATGACAGACATTATTGTGATGAATCGAGTAATAAGATCATCTTGTCAAATTCAATTGGGTAGGTATTCGTTCTACTAGTTCTACTAAAGCACACACCACTAGAATAGGATAGAATAGGATAGAATAGGATAGAATAGGATAGAATAGGATAGAATAGGATAGAATAGGATAGAATAGGATAGAATAGGATAGAATAGGATAGAATAGGATAGAATAGGATAGAATAGGATAGAATAGGATAGAATAGGATAGAATAGGATAGAATAGAATAATTTATTCACCATAAAACTGCTACAAAGAACACAACGTTTTGTCATGAGTATAAATAAAATAATATAAACTAAGAATGTGATATAAACACGATCCTAAATTAACAAAACATACACATACATATAGTTTGTGCAAAATTTTTAGGTTATCAAGATGCTTGTTTGCATTTTCTAGTAATAGATTCCAAATTTCTTCATGTTTGCACATTTGAACGTTTCTGTATGACTAATATTAACTGAGATAGCTATTGAGAAAAATATAAAGAATCACCTTGTACATAGTTAAGTGTTTGGGATCACACGTTAAAAGGTAAGGCCCCCGTCATTCCTTGCTCGCACAAGTCTTTCGAAGACTTCTGAGGGTTGTTCGTAAGGGGGCAACCGAATGACGGATAGAACAATTTTAGAACAATAGCCATAGACGCAGATATCCAGTTATTTTGAATGTTGGATAAACTGCACAAGCAATAAAATGGAACAGTACCTATCTTAAGAAATTATAGAAAATATTTCAGGGGGTGTTTTTTTCAAAAGTGTTAATAAATGAATAACACACTTATTAATATGGTTTATTCGCATCCACCAGATTGTCAACAGTTTCTGGGACATCCTGGATAGAAAAAACGTAGCATTTCTGATCGACCCCACCAAAATAATGATATCTCACAGCTCATTCCCATCAGGATCCTGCGGAAGCAAATTTTTTTGTACAGTTGCTACGTAATAGGTATAATATGGCTTCCAACATCTTCCAATTGATCACACTTTTAAATACGACCCTGATTTTCCAACTGTTAACAGGCGATTTTCGATGGAAATCAAATAAACGGCGCAAAAGGGTGAATGGAGTGGAATGATTCGATTCGACTTGATATTTCCATAATAATCCAGAGTTCATTGTCACCACCATCTTTGAGAATTCAGTGAAGAATATAAATACGAGAACGTCTTGCTCAAGATCAATTTACACACCAGTACCGTATTCACAATATCATATTCAAATAATATAAAAAAATGTACCTATAGTTTGTTACTCTCTGAGGCAAGTTAATTCTGACGTCACCTTGTTGGGGTAGTTAGGGGTTGGTGTACCATGATACTAAAATCTGGTATAACTTTTAAGCATTTTATGATACAGGCGAACTTCATTGAATCACGTTTTACTTCATAATCAATACCCAACACTCCACAACTAAGAGTTCTGAAGAGGGGATGAATCCTTGGTTTCCATCACTAATAGATTCCCAACTACGATATGGAATACCTTTTTGGGGAGTGTGCAGCCCAACGTCTTTAAAAACTCTGTTAATTCTACAGAAACGAGCGATAAGGTATTTATGTAATGTCAAACCTCGAGATTCTTGCAAAATTTCATTTTCCAATGATAAAATATTGATAGTGATTGCACTATTCATCCTGGAATCTGTTTGCCTGATGAATAAGCACAAGTTAAAATTTACTACAACTCCCACAAGAGAGTTTATTAAAGATTCCATATACTATAATGGTGGGAAAATGTACAACCACTTGCCAGTTGATATCAGATCATTAAGTCTGAATGACTGTCAATTCAGGAAGAAAGTCAAAAAGTTCCTCTCTGATAGACCCTATTACAGTTTGCAGGAATATTATTGTGATACGTTTGAGTTATGATATTTTAGTATTTTAATAATTAAAGATTCAAATACTTGCTTGATCTGTATTTCATTCGTTATTCTCGGGGTGGATAACTTGTTTTTGAATAATCACGGCAAGCAATAGTTTTTTTGTCTCAAACAACGATATTGTTCAGCTTCATTTGATTATCAAGTCAAACACAGTGTAGTATGGAGAGGAATAAATAATCACTATTATCATTGTTGATATGCTCACTAACCTAACATTTCCCACGTCTTGTTCCTATAGCTGGCACTGGCGCGGTATTTGCCATTAGAGAACCTGGTCCATACACAATAAATATGTCACTCTGTGATTGTATTTATATTGAAACTACAGTTCGAATATCCTGGAAAACCTAACCAG